CATATTAACTGGTGTGTTACACTGCTTGCATATACTCAGTGAATGAAGATTGTGTTGGTGATTCAATAAGCAATGATCAAGCAGAGTTAAACATTGACATTGATGGCTCGTCTTCAAGTCCAGGTTCTTTTTATTAGTTGGTGTATCATGAATGTTGTTTCTTGTAGGTGTAGGGACTGATTCATGGTGATTATATGCAAATTGAATGTTGTGATTGGTATTAATAATCTGTTCACGTTATGAATTTACAGTTTGAGGTTATGAATTTTCCGTTATGTTATTATGAATTTTCCATATGAGGTTATGAATTTTATGTTATGAGGTTATGCATTTAATGCCATGAGTATCTATGCAACTTTGAATGCTCATAATGTCACAAATGTTATTGATATCCGGTTTTTGTTATGAACTTTTCTTATATGATGTTATGAATTTTATTCTTTGTGATTATGAATGTTCTCACATGAGATTATGAATTCTATAGTGTAGCATATTACATTCATTATAGGTGAAATCCACATTCATAGTTTAGTAGTTGGTATAGGTGTGGTTTATTTTTGTTGCAATTGCAGTTGATGAAGACTTGGTGGGTGTTGTAGTAAGAAATGTTGACGAAGCTTTTGAGTTATATAATGGATATGCATACAGAGTTGGTTTTAGTGTGAGGAAAGGCCAACAACGTTATAAGGCATCTACTAAGTCAATTCAGATGAAGAGGTTCTTCTGTGCTAAGGCTGGGTATAAGCAGAAACCAAACAGTGGTGTTAAGCTTTATTCAAAGATTGATATGAGGACTGGATGTGGTGCATTTGTTCAGTTTGATGTGGGGGGTGATGGGATGTGGACAGTTACAAAACACTTGAAAGAAGCACAATCACGAGTTATGTTCATTTGGCAAGAGTCATCTGCTTCGGTCGCATAGAAGAGTGGGAAACAATCAGCTTGAATATTTAAAAGACATGAAGAGTAGTGGTGTTGCATTGGCGGATGGTAGAGGTTTTTGAAACATCAGTCAGGGGGCTCTCCATTGGTTGGCTTTACCAACCGCGATGCTTACAATTCAATGGCTTCTGTGAGTTTTGAAGTGTTTGGATGGATCGGATTCAAATTCTTTGGTTGAGATATTCAGGAGGAGGCAATCTAATGAGGCTGATTTCTTTTTGATTTCGAAGTTGATTTGGATGGAAGATTGTGTAGTTTTTTTTGGAGGGATGGTCAAATGAGAAGGGATTATGAGGTGTTTGGTGATCTGTTAGTGCATGATACAACATACCGCACTAACAAATATGATATGATTTGTGGTCCTTTTGTAGGGATGAACCATCATTGCATGAATGTAATGTTTGGTTGTGGTTTTTTGATGAATGAGAGGATAGAGTCATTTGCGTGGTTGTTTAGAGCGTTTTTAAGATCCATGGATGGCAAGTGTCCACAGACTATCATGACGGATCAATGTTCAGCTATGGCTGCTGGCATTTCCATGGTGTTTCCTACATCACGCCACCGTCTTTGCATATGGCATATTGGTGAGAATTCGAAGAAGCATATTAAGGCATTGAGGAATCATAAGGATTTTCTGGATATGTTTAATTGTGTGTTGAAATACACCGAGACTGAAGCTGAATTTGAGGTTTACTGGACAAGGTATGTTATTATGAATTTACATTATATAATTTTGAATTTTCTGTCATGTCATTATGGATTTTCTGTTATGTCATTATGTATTTTCTGTTATATGATTTATGAATTTTCTAATATGAGATTATGAATTCACAGTTATACAATTCTGGATTTCCTGTTATGTCATTATGTATTTTCTGTTATGTCATTATGTATTTTCTGTTATATGATTTATGAACTTTGTAATATGAGATTATGAATTCACAGTATTCAATTATGTATTTTCTGTTATGTCATTATGTATTTTCTGTTACATGATTATGAACTTTGTAATATGAGATTATGAATTTTCAGAATATGAGTAATAAACATGTGTTTTAACCTTTTCAGGATGGTTACAAAATATAATTGTCATAAGAATACATGGCTAGAGAAGCTTTATGACTGTAGGGAGAAGTGGTGTCCAGCGTTCAACAAGGATTATTTCTCCCGGGGGTATTTTATCTTCGCAAAGGAGTGAAAGCACAAATCATGCAATTTCTAGGAGGCTGTCCAAGACTGCTGGTTTATGTGATTTTTATTCATCATTTGTGAGTGTTATATCTGAATGGAGAAGTAAGGAAAATGGCGAGGATTTCCGGTGTTCTCAAGGAGTACCCGCCATGATGTTGGATCATGTGAAACTCCTTTCACATGCTAGAAGAGTTTTATACAATGAGATATATTTTTTGTTCGAGGAACAATTTATGAAAGGTAGCTCTTGTTATCAAGAAATGGTGTTGAACGATGGTTGTAAGTGCAAGTATCACGTGTGGCGACCAGACATAGATATCATAAGGCATGAAGTAACCTTTAAGGCAATCAATTTGGATATATGTTGTAGTTGCAAGCTGTTTTCAGAATTGGGAATACTTTGCTGCCACTGCTTACGTATACTTCATGTGCACTGTGTTTCCAGTATTCTCGATAAATACATTCTAAAAAGATGGACTAAAAAGGCTGTTGAGCGTACAAACGTGGACATTGCATCTGTGTTTTATAAATGGTGGTGTCCCTTCTTCAATTTGGGCTGTTGAGATTAGTAGGAAATTTCAAAGGCTTATTGTTTCTAGCCAAGATAACAGTGTTGCTAGACAATTATGTGATGAAGCCGTTGAGAATGCAAGGAAAAACATTGAAGCTGAGATTGGGGATGTGAACACTGAGGAGGGTGCTGTGTCTTCGTCAAGTGGTATTGTCCAAGACCCCTCAAGCCGGAGGGGTAAAGGTGTGAGAAATAAAAGGAGTAGTAGTGTTATTGAGAAGAAGTACAATGCAGCAAGGGGAAGAAAGAGCGCTGCAAACAAGCTTGCTTCAATTACAAAGGGCTCTGTCCAATCATTGGTCTTGGAAAATATTTCAGAGATTGCTCGTGATGGATATCTTGTACATCCAAGCACCGGGGGTTCACAATTTGTTCATTTTAATAAGAATGTAGACCACGATGTAGCTATAGACTGAGATCATGTTAACAGTATGTACTTATGAATTTTATGATTTTTAGATATAGGTTGAGAATTATGTGTCAGATTATGAATTTTCCTTTGCCAGTTTATGAACTTTCATTTACCAGTTTATGAACTTTCATTTACCAGTTTATGAACTTTCCTTTACCAGTTTATGAATTTTCCTCTATGTGATTATAAATTTTCCTCTATGTCTCAGATTATGAATCTTCCTTTATCTGATTATGAATTTTCCTTTATGTGATTATGAATTTTCCTATATGTGATTATGAATTTAGAGTATGTGCTTATGTATTTTATGCTATTCAGATTTTATGAGAATTATGTGCCAGATTATGATTTTTCCGTTGCCAGTTTATGAACTTTCATTTACCAGTTTATGAACTTTCCCTTACCAGTTTATGAATTTTCCTCTATGTGATTATGAATTTTCCTCTATGTCTCAGATTATGAATCTTCCTTTATCTGATTATGAATCTTCCTTTATGTGATTATGAATTTTCCTATATGTGATTATGAATTTAGAGTATGTGCTTATGTATTTTATGCTATTCAGATTTTATGAGAATTATGTGTCAGATTATGAATTTTCCTTTTGCCATTTTATGAACTTTCATTTACCAGTTTATGAACTTTCCTTTACCAGTTTATGAATTTTCCTCTATGTGATTATGAAGTTTCCTCTATGTCTCAGTTTATGAATCTTCCTTTATCTGATTATGAATTTTCCTTTATGTGATTATGAATTTTCCCATATGTGATTATGAATTTAGAGTACGTGCTTATGTATTTTATGCTATTCAGATTTTATGAGAATTATGTGTCAGATTATGAATTTTCCGTTATTTGATTATGGATGTTACTTTATGTGATTATGAATTTTCCTTGTTGTCATTATGAATGTTATTTTAATCTATGTAACAATGAATTTCAGAAGAAAAGTCATAATATAATATCAGAAAGTTCATAACACAATTTCATATTCTAATTAGTTTACCTATCAATATCGTCGAGGGTAGCAGGTAGTGTAGCAGCAGGCGTAGAAGTATTAGCAGCATCAGGGACATCTCTGGCGAATGGAACCTTGATCAATGGAGTTATTTCTCGTCTTTCAGAACTTGATGTAGCAGGGGTAGCAGCATATGCTTCAGAAGATGAAGCAGTAGGGGTAGCAGCAGTGGTAGGAACATGCGTAGGAGCAGGGAAAGCAGCAGGGGAAGAAACAGCTGTAGCACCAAGCGTATCAGCAGGGGTTGTAGCAGGGATAGCGGTAGGAGTAGTAGAGAGTGTAGCAGCATCAGCAGCACCGGGAGTGTCTTTCACAATGTTCTCAACAAGGGCATCCAATTCATCTTCATCCATTGCACTTTGCTCACGTGGTTCATCAACCAATGGTGCCGGGGGTATAAGAGATCCCTAAATCAAATGAGGGAGGGTCAATCTCCATTTGCCGATTGGTCTTATGGAAGGCTTCAACCAAGGCATCAACAGCCTTTGTGAAAGACTCTTGGCCAAAGAAGATGTCGTCTAGTTGAGAGGAGGTTGGAGTTGGTGGTCTTTCTATTGTGCTTGCAACGCCAATCATGGTGGAAATTCCAGAAAATGCGGCCTTCATAACATCCACCGGTGCGTTTTGTCTGCCAACTTCAGCCATAGCCTCACCGAATTCCAAGACATCAGCAGCAAGGCGTTGTAGAACCCGCGTGACCCTATCAACACTAGACGGCGGCACAGAGATGGTTGGGACTGGTTGGGCGGAAGTAGAAGCGATACAATCAGCAGTAGGCTTTGCAATACGAGGGATAACTTTCCCTTTACCATATCCGCCCGACCTTTTCTCAGCGGAAACCCTTTGCCGTGCAAGTTTACTTGTCCATGCAGTAATGCTTGGATATGTTCTTTGAATGCTCATTCCTTTGAATTGGACCCGATCAAAGTAGAATAGCTACAATGTTGAACAAAAAGGTAAAATAAAAAAGTTATAATCACAGAATTCATAATTACACTACAGAAAATTCATAATATCATAATAGAAAATTCATAATCCATATGAACATTATATTCAACTATCATATTATGGATTTTATGTTATGCAATTATGAACTTTCTATTATGAGATTCATTATTGCATAATACTATAAGAACATTCATAATGATAACAAGGAAAATTCATAATTACATAAAGGAACATTCATAATCACATAAAGGAAGATTCATAATCAGATAAAGGAAGATTCATAATCTGAGACATAGAGGAAAATTCATAATCACATAGAGGAAAATTCATAAACTGGTAAAGGAAAGTTCATAAACTGGTAAATGAAAGTTCATAAACTGGCAAAGGAAAATTCATAATCTGACACATAATTCTCATAAAATCTGAATAGCATAAAATACATAAGCACATACTCTAAATTCATAATCACATATAGGAAAACTCATAATCACATAAAGGAAAATTCATAATCAGATAAAGGAAGATTCATAATCTGAGACATAGAGGAAAGTTCATAATCACATAGAGAAAAATTCATAATCACATAGAGGAAAATTCATAATCTAACACATATAATCTACAATCTGAATATCATAAGATTCATAAGTGGAGCTAGAGCTTACCAATATGAATGTCATTGGTCCAGTAAAGAAGCTATTACTTTTCTTCCTGTACTGCTCGATGGACTTGATCAGAGAGTTGTAGGTGTAGCCACACCAGTTGTACTCCTTTATCTCATCAACATTAATCAAGGAGTTGAGGATTCTGTTGTTGCAGTAGCGGTTCTGAAATCCCCTCATCATGCACGAAACAGTCAAGACCATGAAGTCTCTCTTAAAGTCATCTCCAGAATCTCCCCTCTGAACTATGACATCTCCCATCTGGGTAGTGACTGGGAACCAAGCTTAATATTCCACCGTTCCCTCCAGCTTTTCAAGAGAGCCCTGTATTCTGGTGTCCCCTGTTCATCATATTTTGGGGCCTCAACAACCTTCTTTTCTCCTCTTGGAATGCCAAGAGTGTACTCAACGTCCTCTTCATCAACTGTGAGCTTGTCGTTCTCCAGCTTGAAATGTGTTTGGAAAACCTCAAAGTTGGCTATCAAATACTGAACTAATTGTGACTCATTTGCGCACAATTGAAGGTCCAACAGGGCCTCCAAATCCAATATCACGGACAGCTTGTTTTTGTTCTGGCAGTAGTTGTTGTACAAGCCTAAACATGGTCTTTGGTCCCATCCGTGTGCTGAAGTAGGGAGTAGAACTCCCCTCTGCACAATCACCTCCAATGTCTGTGTTGCCCCTATGTCTGTCATTTATTTGCTTTGACCTCTTTTCTCTAATAACTTCTTGCTCGAGCAGGTCATCAGAGTGCTGCTGGGATGGTGAGCAGCCTGTGAGTCAAGTACAGCCCGTGTTGTTCGTTTTCTTTTGCTTTTTGTTGTAGGGGTGACTGCAGTGTTGTGTTCAGCCGCCGTCTGTGAGGGTTGTGATGGTTCTGCAGCTTGAGAGCTCAAGACTGCCTTTGTTTGTGAGCGTGTTGTCCTTCGTTGAGCAGTGTCCATTGCTTTTATTAAAAACGTTAGAAAGCAAGTAACTCATATACAACATATAATATAGATTGATGGAAGGAAAATATATTCCTTATTTCAGTAGAGGGGGGATGGGGAGTGCCGAATAAATCCAGCCATGCTCTACCGAAAAGAATATAATGTCCTTCAATAACAGTTACACATAATTGGTAATATAGTAACATAAAATTCATAATTTCACAAAGAAAATTCATAATACCAGAACAGAAAATTCATAACATTAGAACAGAAAGTTCATAACTGCAATATAGATCAGAATCCATAATCTCATATGAGAAAATCCATAATTCCATATTGTCCATCAATAACAGTCACATATAATTGATAGTATAGTAACATACAATTCATAATATCTCACAAAGAAAATTCATAACCTCAGGACAGAAAATTCATAACTCCAAAACAGAAAGTTCATAACTGCAACATAGAAAATTCATAACTACAGAACATAAAATTGACAACTCACAATACAGAATTCATACTCTCCTACGAGAAAATTCATAATCTCTAACAGAAAATACATAACCACATATAAGAAAGTTCATAACAGCAAAAATGTAATTTCATAGGCACAATAGAAAATTTCATAATCTCACACAGAAAATACATATTTGCATGACATAAAATACATATTTGCATGACATAAAATACATAAGTGAATGGACGTTATGGACATTCAAAGCTTGCATAGAAAGTGAATAAACAGCAGTAAAAACCATATACGAATCAATTCATAATGGTTAATCTACACGTATATAATGCTACAGATATACATTTATAAGCTCATAACATTACATTCAAAACCCCATTTCAAAATTTCGAAATATGTACACAGAATACAAATACCCTAAATCATAAACACGAAAATACCTGTAATACAAGTGAAGGAACGTTGAGAATGAGCAATGGAGAGGCTGTATCCTTTGATAGCTACGTGAGAACGTCAAATTTTGTTTTACAAATGCGAGAACGAGGAATCCGAGAGCAGAGGTGAATGGCTGTGGAGCAGAGTGTTTGAGAGTGATCGAAGGAAATGGCTGGGGAAGATGAAGCGATAGAAGAGAGCTCGAGAGTGGTGTTCCAGAGAGCAGAGCGATGGAGGTTGCATGGAGAGGAAGTGAAATGGCGTAGTGGAGAAGCGGAAACGCTATGGCGCGTTTAATTTAAAAAAAAAAAAAAATGTGAGTGGTGGGAGTTAACGGTGCCACTTACGGGCACCGTTAGTCCCACTCACTCTAAACGGTGTCGTATGGAACCGTGTTCACCAACCATGGTGAACACGGTTCCATGGCATAACAACTGACATAAGATCTACGCTAACAAGCACGGCAAATTATATTATGCACCGCGGTGCATAATCGATTATGCACCGCACGTCTTTTTTTTAAATGAAAATTAACAGTGTTTATTTTCGCCGTTTTCCACCCTTTTGCAAAAAGTAACTCTGTTATTCAGTGTCATTTTGTATACACTGCAGTTTCAGTTGAACACAACTACAGTTTCATTTCGATATAACTATAGTTTCATTCGATATTTATAGACTCAAATATGTGAAAATGTTATTTAATTTTATTTTATATACACTATAGTTTCATTAAAACACAACTACATAATTATTTTGATATAATTACAGCTTCATTGTACAATATACATTCAAATATGTGAAATGTTATTCAGTTTCAGTTTATATACACTGTAGTTTCATTTCACTATAACTATAATATTATTTTGATATAACTGCAGTGTCGGTTTGGATATACTGTAGTGTCAGTTGGTGTTTAATACACCAAACAAACGGACTCCGTTAACTCTAACGGCGGGCCGTTTCTTTACTTAAAGAAACGGCGTCGTTTTTGACCGCGGTGCACATGCACCACGGTCTATAATATAACGACTGAACAAGCACAAGTCATGAAGCTTAGTGCTCAGGTGCCCCAACCCCCTTCAAGGTTAAACACACCATATGCTCATCGATCGCCTGCTAGGGAAAGTCTTAGGTCGCGAGGTCAGGGGCCTCAGGGGATTAAGAGCGTCAAACGTAAGGAACCCACCCAAGTAGAGAGAAGGCTCGAAGAGTTGGCCCAATAGAAAGAGATAGGTAGGCAGCCTACAATCCCAAGAATAATAGTTACTCCTTTGTTTACAAGCCAGATCATGGGGGATCCACTCCCGTTTAATTTCAAAATGCCGAATGTGATATGATTTGAAAATGTTGGGGACCCCAAGGTGCACAGTTGTTATGCCATGGAACCGTGTTCACCATGGTTGGTGAACACGGTTCCATACGACACCGTTTAGAGTGAGTGGGACTAACGGTGCCCGTAAGTGGCACCGTTAACTCCCACCACTCACATTTTTTTTTTTTTTTTAAATTAAACGCGCCATAGCGTTTCCGCTTCTCCACTACGCCATTTCACTTCCTCTCCATGCAACCTCCATCGCTCTGCTCTCTGGAACACCACTCTCGAGCTCTCTTCTATCGCTTCATCTTCCCCAGCCATTTCCTTCGATCACTCTCAAACACTCTGCTCCACAGCCATTCACCTCTGCTCTCGGATTCCTCGTTCTCGCATTTGTAAAACAAAATTTGACGTTCTCACGTAGCTATCAAAGGATACAGCCTCTCCATTGCTCATTCTCAACGTTCCTTCACTTGTATTACAGGTATTTTCGTGTTTATGATTTAGGGTATTTGTATTCTGTGTACATATTTCGAAATTTTGAAATGGGGTTTTGAATGTAATGTTATGAGCTTATAAATGTATATCTGTAGCA